TTGAAGACATAAAAAGAGGCCATTTTGCCAGGAAGCAGGGGGAGGGTCCAAGACGAATGAAGAGGCTCTCAGCACAGACAACCGGAGGTTGTGATACTCATGGGGAGAATCATACTCTGATACCTAACCGGGGGAAGCTAGGAGCAGGTAGGAGGTAGACTGTCCCCCCTCCCGTTAGAAAAGCAGTCTGATCTTTGGCAGGAATCTCAGCTTCATTTCAGTGTCATGACAGACCATCACAACTGACTCAATCCAGTACATGTTCTACATAATCTAGGCAACACTGATAAGTAATGGCATTGCACAGGTAACGACATTTTTAATTAACTTCAATCATCAATAGAAACCATACGGTGAAGTCTGTGCAAAAGTTGCTCTTCCAAATGCTGCGGTCACATCTGCATGCAGAGTCTGTTGCAGGTTGCCCGTTCCCCCGCAGATCAGAGACAGGTCTGCACCACGTGCCGCATGACGGTGAACCGAGAGCCTTCCAGCAGCATTCAGAACAGGAAGGCAGGATTGTGAGAAGGACTGTTTACTTTGATATATGCGAGCGGTATGTTATCTTAATGTCAAAACCTCGCAGTTGGAGGCTTCGCAGTGTAAATATGCTCAGGATGCGCGCGGTAAGATTATCCTCCTGGCGGCAGTTTAACATGTTTGAATGGCAGCAAATGAAAAGCCTCTTAAGGCCTAGATTAGCATCTCTGTGTCTTATTAGGCATTAAGCTTGAGACGATTATACCAGGAGGCTTTCCAGGAACGAGCTGCTGCCTCTGATTTGTGCCTCTAACCCCGGCGGCCTTCATTTCATGAGGAGCATTTGAGGTCATCCGGGGTCAGGTGGACCTTCTCATCTCTGCAGGGCTGCTCTGACCTTACTTCTCAGGACCTTATTGACTTTTTTGTGTAGGTTTGTGTTATATAATATGGATCTAAATGGTACATATGTGCTGCTAAGATTTTTACAGGATTTATCTTCAGATTTCATGTACCTGCAAAGTATTAATTCTTAGTTCACCAGCTTAGGAAGCTACTAATTGACTTATAACAAAAGGAACGGTTACTTAGTAACTATGCAATATTTATTCTTTCTATAGAGAAAAGTCACTTCTGGAATGCAAAAAATGAAGCGATGTCAGAATGCTCCAAGTCATGTCAGATTGCTTGATGAAGCATAATTCAATAAGAGCTCAGCAGAGTAAAGAAGGGCAGGACTCGGAGAGGACATCAGGGACATCTCTGTGCCTGTGGGGCGAACAAGCGCCAAACGCGACCTCATTGCTCTCTGAGTCGGAGAGTAGCGTTTCCTCTGCCGCGTGGTGGATCGCTGGCAGTTTGCATACGTGTGCCCGGGGTTGATGTCGATAGTGTGAAGGGGAAAGCCTCAATGAGATCACAGCGTGAACAGATGCAAGCCTCTTTTGTTTCGCTGAGAGGACTCACTAACAGCTGGTTATTCCTGAGAATGTCTTGCACGTAAACGGATCAGGTTGCATTTCCAGGGTTTCTGTTGTTGGAGCGCTCGCTCTTTGTCTTAAGAGCATGAAAGCACTGGTGCAGAAATGACAGACGGTGCCTAATGATGCATTAGTGTGCTTTGTGTCCCTGAAAGTTTTGTCTTTCGTAAAAACCTCGGAAGTGGTATCAGAGGGTAAATATTTGGTATTCAGATTTTGATCGTTTGTTGTTCACCTTGTTGGGATTCAACTCCTTTCACTTACCTGGTCAAGATGTCCAAGAGTAGATCAGTCTATTAGCTATAAAATCTCTGAATGCTTAGCAGACCCTGTGGTGACTGGCTGGCATTTCCCCTTCACAGCCCTTCATTCTTAAATCTGTAGCAGACTTGGCCTCCTTAAACATGGGTGTGTCCTCCCTGTTTGAAACCCCTGGCTACTTCCCACTCGGTATCGACTCTTAATCACTTTATCCAGCTACTCTTTGAATGGTACAGCGTCATTTATGCCTTAATAGTTCACATCATAACTCATACTAGTTCAGACTTTTATTCATGGCTCCAGATAATTTATCGTAGCGTCGCGTGACCCTGTCGTCCAGCCTCAGCATGCCCTCCAGGGTTCGCTGCTCTTCCCCTCGATCGATCGATCTCTGCGGGTAGCGCTGACCTCATCAGAGCCCCGGATACGCGCCGAACAGGCCGTGCTTATCGCAGTACAGTCACCAGCAACTTGGGACCCCCCCCCTCCCGAAAGCCTGCCCCGCTCAGGGGCGGCAGGGCAAAGGTAATGTTGGGAGTGGGACCAGACTGGGGGCTCCTGTGGTTTCCAGTTTCCGTGGGCTGTAAAAGCTCCGCTTCCAATGGGAACCAAATGTTTGCTCAGGGCTTTCCTGCAGCACAGGGACCCCATCCAGTCTCTGTGGCCTGGAATGTCTCTGGCGGGACAGACGGCAACGAAATCCGTAGGCGCTGTCCCGCTGTGCCGGGGGCCTCCGCTCGACGCCGCGGTTTCGATGTGGAGATGTAAACGCGGCCGGGGCGTCGTAAACGGCACTGTCCTGGACACAGCCTGAGCGGTGTGCTGAAATTCCCTGTCCCGTTGCCCATCCTTGTACATCCAAGCCTGAATGGGAATTTTACGCGTTGATTAAATTTTTTTTTTTTTTTTTTTTTTATCGACATTCGCCGAGAGTTCAACCAAAACTGCAGACTTGCAATTTTTTTTTTTTAGCTCGCTCCACGACTTCCGCAGAAGGATGTGACACAGTGAGCTGTCAGAAATGCACACCTCTCCCGACTGCCATTATTTTGACTTAAATGACAACCTCCTGTGTGGCACCACGCTCAACACATTGGGTGACACTGTTTCGACACACCAGCACTGCAGGGTCAACTCTGAGATCACACTTGTCAGCTTAAAAAAAATGCGAGTGGTTAGAAATGGTTTCATTTCATTTCAAATATCACCCATCAGCTCTTGAATTTTCAGTGTGTTTTATGAACATGTTGACTATGAGAGAGTCTGACTGCGGGAGCGGGTTCACTGGGCCATGTTGGACCCCTGGATTATGGTACTCATCTCAGTGGTCCAATAGATCCAAGCTGGTGTTGGGATTTAGAGTTAGCTTGACTTTATTGGTTTATCTAAAGAACGTAAAGCCAGCTATGTCCCTCAGCGGCCCCGTAACATCATCAGCATGACAGGTGAGACTGCGCTGTGGTAAACCACAGGTCGTTAATGAAAGGGTTGCTTTGATAAACGGTTCATTAGAGCAGTATTTGTTTATTGTGGTCAGTGACCAGGCTTGACGCATCCTTTCCAGAAGTGGAGATTTCAGGTCTAGAGAGTACAAATCCAGACCAAGATTTTGTTTCAACCAACCAGTTGAGTACTCTGTGACTGTGACTCTTTATACTCAACTGGTTGGTTGAAACAAAATCTTGGTCTGGATTTGTACTCCCTGGACCTGAAACCTCCACCTCTGGTCCTTTCCCAAAGAAGGTTTCAGTGGGTTACTTTTACATCAATAGCCCCATTTCCCTTCAGCTTATCTATTGATAATCATGCTTTAAATATGCTGTGAATGATCGTCCAAACCTCCCAGGTTTATTCTTTTTGTTTTGAAGCCTGATTATGATTTTATTGCTCATATACATGCTGCTTTTTTCATGGCACAGTGGTCTCTGGGCGGCACTTACCGTGATAAAACTGTCCTCGTCGCCGCAGTTCGCCAGGTTTCGCCCACACATTCGAAAACAGCACTGCTGGGAGAAACTGGAATTTCGCAGGATTTTCCGCGTGATAAGGAGACATGAATAAGCGCAGATCAAAGTCGATGCCTGCTGGCCAGTCTTGCCTTGTTGGCACTCGTCTGTTTGTTTGATGTGTTCTGTAAGTTCGAAGCACTTTTAAAATCCGGTGTCATGAATATTCAGTTGACAAATCGAGCCTCAGCCTGTTCCCGAGAGTCAGCAGCGAATTCATCACTATATCCTCCTGAAGAAGGATAGTACTGTGTTTTGGCTTAAATATTGGCTTCAAGATAAAGATTAAAAGAAAGACCTAAAGCGATCCAAATGTACTTTGTGTCTAGACCGCTAACTCTTTTCTTCCTGCCCAAGAAGGCCATCTCATTTTTCTCATAGCCAATCGGATCTGCCTTTTGCTTCCACCTGGTTTGATTCCAGCGTCTCCCGCCTTAGAAGGCTGCAGATTTTGGTTGGTTCTCACTTTTCCTCACCTTTTCTTCACTTCCCTAAAGTCGTTATTCACACTTGTGTACAAGGAGCTTGGGTGGCTGGTTGTAAAGTCATCACCAGCCTCAAGATTCCACTCCAAAGCAGCATAAACATCACCGTTAGAGGGGTTGAGCCTCTGATCGGTTCCTCCTTAAAGATTGCCGTTACCCACTGGAGTGATTGTCTTCCTTCTCTCCTTCCTTCTTTGCCCAGGGAAGGCCTGTGTGCTTAAGTGCCTGCTGGACGTTCACAAGATCTTCAGGGAAAATGACCCCGCCTACATTCTCAATGACCTCTACATCACGGATTACTGTGTGTGGATCCAGAAGGTCAAGTAAGTTCTGAGACCATAATCCCCTCAGAGATGCCACCCCCTGGTAAAAAGAGAATTATTAGGCATCATTTGATCTTTGCCTGACAGGTTTTAGGAGATGCGGTTCCTCGGGGGGGGGGGTTGCTTAACGACCCTCACAGCCATTCCTCACCCCTGCCTCCCCCCTGCCTAATGACTCACATGTTTAAAAAGGCCCCCTTGGGTGCATGATTCACAAATGGGGCACGGCCTCTCATCGCCTGGGGTTCAGCCAAGCGGCGTGTTCCCCCATAAGACATCCGGCTGAGCAGTGCGTGCCTGTTGCCCTGTGCCCCACTCTGGACACGATGAAAGGCCCGTGACGATTTGTACAAGTCGACAGATTTCACAATGTTCTGGAAACAAAGTGGCCTGGCACCCAATTAATAATGCATTAGTGAAAATCTTTGACACGGGCTGTAGTTTGGGGGTGTCAGCAGCGCTGCGAGGGGCAGCTTGGTGTCCTATTGCAGTGTATGCATACCGGGATGCGATACTGCTGGGGTGTCCTATTGCAGTGTATGCATACCGGGATGCGATACTGCTTTGGTGTCCTATTGCAGTGTATGCATACCGGGATGCGATACTGCTTTGGTGTCCTATTGCAGTGTATGCATACCGGGATGCGATACTGCTGGGGCTCAGAGCAGCAGGCAGTGTTGCATCTCAGTTAATGCCATGCAGTGTTGCATGCTGAGCACCTGCAATGTGCTGTATCACTGCGATGTATCGTTATCGCAGTATAGATGGCGCGATGACGTGCAGCGTTCAGAGGTCTGGCTCGACACGGGCCGCAGCTCACAGATCCGATTCCCGCTGCCGTGGCAAGTGGGCTAAATCAGAGACGGGTGCAGGCCGGGAGGTGGGATGGCAGAAGGGCCTTTGAGGATGACTGAGCTCCCATCTGACCTCCCTGATTGTCAGAGTCCGCTCTCTGCTGGAGTCTCTTGACTGGAGTGTATGTGTGCATGTGTGTGGGCGTGCGTGCATGTGTGTGCATGCATGCGTGTGTGTGTGTGTGCATGTGTGTTTGTTTGCATGCATGTGTGTGTGTGTGTGTGTGTGCATGTGTGTTTGTTTGCATGCATGTGTGTGTGCATGCGTGCACATATGTGTAGGGACACGTGTGCCTGTGCATGTGTGCTCACGTGTGTGTGTGTGTGTGTGTGTGTGTGTGTGTGTGTGTGTGTGTGTGTGTGGGAGAGCACATGTGTGCATGTATGCAGTGGCGTGCACAGACATTTTGGGGGGCAAGTGCTCCAGGGGGAAAAAAGGGCACTTTTTGCATATGTGGAAAACCTTTTCTTTTTATAATAAAAAAACGCACAGGTTAAATGCAATTTGACTTTTATTTCAAAACATTCTCTA